TGTGCTCACCAGGCTATGCTCCGAGAGGCTCTGCCATTGGCTTTCCTGCCACCTCCTGCTGCCAGGCTGAGCTCCTTGGGGCTGGCAGAGTTGCTTGGAGCACAGCTCTGGCTCCAAGCACAACCCTGGTGAGCACAGCCTGGTAGTTGGAGGCTCCACAGCCCCACAGAGCTGAGCCTAGTGGCAGGAGGCGGCAGGAGGCAGTGGAGAGCTGGTGTCAGAGCTGCTTGGAGCACAGCCCTGGCTCCAAGCGCAGTTCTGGCCATTGGCACTCCCCCACCTCCTGCCACCAGGATCAGCTCCATGGAGCTGGCGGAGCCACTTGGAGTGCTGCCCAGTGGTGGGAAGCAGGGGAGAGCCAGGGCTGTACTCTGAGTGGCTCTGCCAGCCTCATGGAGTTTAGCCCAGCGGCAGGAGAGCCAGTGATAGAGCAACTTGGAGCACAGCTCTGGTGAGCATAGCTTGGTGGCAGAAGGCTCTGCAGCCCCATGGAGCTTAGCCTGGGGTGGGAGGCAGGGGAGACCCACTGGCCAGGGCTGCGCTCAGAGCCAGGGCTGCACTTGGAGCGGCTCCACCACTGGCTCTCCTGCCACCTCCCACCACCGGGCTGAGCTCTGTGGGGCTAGCGAAGCCACTCTGAGCACAGCCCTGGCTCTCCCCCACCTCCCACCACCAGTCTGCTTTGAAACTCAAAACATTTCAAAATTTTCAAAACATTTTGAGTGCCCTCATTTAATTTCAAATCTGTATCCAAGTCTTTTGTTTCATTTCAATTTTGCTGTTTTGAGCTCGAAATGCATCAAAACAGCTTCAAAACAAAACACCCATCGGAATTTTGCACAGCCCTACTACAGAGCATATTCATAACAGAATATCCCACCCCCTAGGTTCCACTCTGCTTGCCAGTAAAATGCTGTGTATTTCCATTATTATTCTTATGAACATGTTTGAAATTGAGAGTGTTTCTGGGCATGTACCAAAAACTTGCTACATAACATACTTTAGCATACAGGCCAGGGGGGAAGGAACAAGTAGTCTGGTTGTTTTTTCAGGGTTGCTCATCTGATAAAATGTAACCCTAGACATATTATGTACCTAATTTCACTTTTCTGGCACTTTTTTTTTTCCTTTAAGAAATCTGGTCCTTCCTTTCTCGCTGGATAAGTCCAATTTTGTAAAATGGAGATACAAGCAATTTCTTACCTCAGAAAGGTAGTGAGAATGAATATATTAAATATTGGAAGGCATTTAAGGAATTGACAAATATATGATTTCACTGTTTTTAAAGGGGTGGGATATGATAAAACTGTTTTATCAGCCTGCTCTGCACCTATGCAGTAAGTGAACTAAATTGTAGTAATTTACTCTGAATGAAATGGGGAATCATTTTTGTAGGTTAGAAGCAGACAGAAGAAACCACTGGCATGATGCAGCTGAATTTGGTGCAAGTGCCCCTATTATTTAAAGTAGTAAATTGCTTTATCTGTCCTTCAGACAACATAGCAATGGAATCTATATAAGCACCTTGAGAGTTTGTCAAATAAACCTTAAAAGGAATCATTTATGCTTAGAAAGGGCTTTTCACTTTTGTTTCCTGGTTTGTTTGTTGACATGTTAATAATATCTTCTAAACACATGACCCTTTTCCAATCCACATTATTCATAACATTGAAATAAATCATAGGTTTAGAAAAGACTTAGAGGTCATCTATTAATGATATATTTCTGCTATACTGTTTACAATCAATCTAATTAGTTTGTAATATTGTTTTCATATTTTACAGAAATATTATGTCAATAATATTAATGACAAATGCATGAAACAATCATAGGAGATACAGTCAGTCCAGCAAGTCAAGCCTAAAAGAGAGAATGGAGGCATGAAGTACAAGCAGGAGGCAAGTACAAGCAGAAGGCACTAAGTCTTAATGGGGAAAATGGATTTTTAATGTTGAACTGACTCAATATGAAATTAATAATGTTGGTCCAATAAACCAAAATATATCATTAGCAACCTTGGCTGAATATGAACCGGCAACCCAAACATGAACCATTTCAAATTACCCCCAATGACCCAGTATTTCATAACTCTAGTCTATGGTTTTCCTAGAAAAAGTATCCTAGGTTTGATCACTTTTGATAGTCTTGATATTTTGTAGCATTGCATTAAAAATTATGGTTAAGTCAAACATACTGGCACCAAGTCATTTAACAGCTCATTGAATGTACCTGACAAACATCATAATTTTAAAAAGAAAAAGGAAGAGATCTTGTGTTCCAATCAGAGTTGATAATGAAATACAAAATATCTCACTAGGTTACAGCTTTAAGACCAGTCTAGCATAGCACAGCACAGTAAAGCCTAAGGCAACAAATGAAGCGGCAAAAACTACTGAATGGATGGATGATTTTGCAAAGGGTAGCTGTACTGAACAGAGGCTGATAATTAATTACACATAAACAAAACAAAAATATTAATTTATTTTACAATAGTATAAAGGATCCTTAATTATAGATAAATATTACCACTGCCACTAATTGTTTACAAGATAGTGTGCTTTTCCCTATTTGAGAAGTAGGGAAAAAAAAATCCAATTCATAGAGATTATACAGCAGGGGTGGGCAATTATTTGGCTGGAGGCCCACTTAGGGAGTTTTAGTGAGCTGTTGTGGGCCTGAGGGGATGCTGACCCAACCCAGTTCACCTGGGGGGAGGGTCAGGGGAATTGATTGCAGATAATACCAAATTATGGGAAAAAGTAAACACACTAAAGGGTTGAGAATGAATCCAAGAGGATCTGGACAGGTTGGAAAAGTGAGCAGAACATAATAGGATGTAGTTCAACAAGGACAAGTGCAAAGTGCTGCACCTAGGGAAAAGGAATTACCAACATGCTTACAGGCTAGGGGAGGACCATCTCCGCAGCACAACAGTGGAAAGGGATCTTAGAGTCACTGCTGACTCCAAGATGAACATGAGTTATCAACATGACGAAGTGATCAGTAAAGCTAGCTGCACTTTATCATGCATTAGCAGGTGCATGACAAACATGTCCAAGGAGGTGATACTTCCCCTTTATGCAGCATTGGTTAGACTGAGTTGGAGTACTGTGTCCAGTTTTGGGCACCACACTTCAAGAGGGATGTAGACAACCTCGAAAAGGTTCAGAGAAGGGCCACTTGTATGGTTAGGAGCCCTCAGTCAAAACCATATGGGGAGAGATTGGGGGCCCTGGATCTCTTCAGCCTCCACAAGAGAAGGCTGAGAGTTGATCTTATGGCTGCCTACAAATTCATCAGGGGGGGGGACAGCAAGGAATAGGATATGATCTACCAGGGCACCCCTTGCAGTAACTAGGGACAATGGCCACAAACTGATGGACAGAAGATTTAGGTTAGACATCAGGAAGAACTTCTTTACAGTAAGAGTTAACAAAATCTGGAATGGGCTTCCAAGGGAGGTGGTGGTCTCCCCTACCTTGGAGGTCTTTAAAAGGAGGCTAGACGTACACCTGGCTGGGGTCATCTGACCCCAGGGCTCTTTCCTGCCCAGGGCAGGGGGTCAGACTCAATGATCTGCTAAGTTCTCTTCTGACCCAAACATCAACGAGTCTATGATCACAGTATGGTTGCGGGGGGAGGGATTGATCCTATCTGGTCCAGGCCCATATGCCCTGCACCTACTGTCAGGAGCACCAGACAGAGTGGGCAGGCAGGCAGGTGGGTGCAGTCTCCATGGAGACCAGCCTGGGAATCCCACAGGCAGGGCACACTTGGCTGGGTGGATAGGACATGGCCACAGGCAAGTGGGGAGTGGTGTCCAGAAGTGGGATGGGTGTGTGAGGCCAGGGCTAGAGCTAGGGCTGGGGCCAGGATTACAGGGCAGTGGCAGCATGGTGCCATTTGGGGAGTGGATTGTGGATTGTAGCTCTGCACCAGGCCCAGGCCCTGTGCTGTCACCACCAGGCAATCTCGGCCCTGGCCCTAGCTCCGTCCACCCATCCCACTCCTGGATGCTGCTCCCCACCTGCCTGCAGCCCCATTCTAACTGCCTGGACAAGGGTGCCATGCCCATGGGATCCCAGGCTGATCTCCATAGAGACATCACCCACCCGTTCCATCCAGTGCTCCCAGTGGCAGGTACAGAGTGGACGGACCTGGGTTCCTGGGCAGTAGTGTCTGATGGATGCAGTGACACTGGCGGTAGCAGCAGCTGGAAGGAACTTCCACTTCCAGGGCTGCTGGAAAGTGGAGTCCAGCTACCACACTGGCCCCCACCCTGCTGTGTCCCTTTTGGACTGGCTACATATGCCACGGCCTGGGCTGCCCCCCCATGCCTGGGATGGATGGGGCTGAGGGACCTGATATGGGCTCGATAAAATCCCTTGGCAGGCTGGATCTGGCCCACGGGCTGTATTTTGTCCACTCCAGTTCTGCAACCCTTGAAGTATTAGAAGACGGTTACCTTATCCCCCCTCAGTTTTTCTTTTCCAGAGTAAAAACTGGTTTTTCAGCTTTGTGATACAAGGCGAGCAAAAGGAAGCAATAAGACAAGTTACATTATTAACACTTGATAGCTGTTATTTACTTGAAATTAATTGCTAGTCTCTTGTCTAGTATAATATTCAGTGGACACTTTATCATCTACCAAATCACTTATTCTATGACCCATAGGAAGAAAAAGATAGGATGTTTTATATATATATATATATATATATATGATTTAATTTTTAGGTATAGTGGGCACAATTTAATGTTTACATTTGTTACATTGTGCCCACTATACCTAAAAATTAAATCATTTTAAAGAATGAATGAATTAGTACATTAGCACCCAACCATTTGGATTATAATAGTTTTAAATAAGAAAGCATTATATTAATTAGATATGCATTTGGAAACAGCAGTAAATAACTTGTAGGATTTAGACCTGCTCTCTCTGAATTTCCACACTGCACAGAAAAAAAAAAGGAACGAACACTTTTGCATGCAATACATACCATTACAAGATGGCAATGCTCTGTTCCATGCTGGTTTTCCATCAATGCCAATCACACATGTTATAGTAGAGGGATCAATAATCTTATATCCGGAATCACATTGATAGGTAATAGTTGATCCAAGTTTGAAATCTGTTCCAATTCTTGTTCCATTCATTATGTTTCCTGGGTCAAAACAAGCTTCTCGTGGTTTTTCTGTTAAAAGTGGATATGAATTAAAAAAGCACTCCCAATGAGATAATCCTTGCAGAAAAAAATACATTTGACAATCTGCAGGGTTTTTTTTTTATTATATTGACTTTACAATCATGTAATTAAAATATGCTTCTATCTTTAAAAAATGGTTATAGGGATATTGATGCTTTCCAAAGATTATCTGCCTATCCAAGAAAATTACACCTATATCTTTTTGCATCATGTTAAGAAAATGTACCTCCAAGATTAAACTTCTTCTTCAGTTTTGCTTTATTTATTTTTAACTACATAAAAGCTATGTGACTTTACCATATTCCAGTAAAGTAAAAGAAATGCCTGTCATTTCTACAACCTCAATTTTACATTTATACTTTCTACTAAAAGCCAAAGAATTTCATGGGCTTTCCCATTATCCAATTAGAAAGATACCAAGGCTGGGAAGATATACGGTATTTTTCCCTGGAAAAATTGTGCGTGTGTTTGTCCTGAAACAAAAATATCTCCTGACTGATGTGTAAACACATCATCCTTCTAATCAGGGTTTAGTGAGCATCATGATTTAGTGATGCTTTTCTAACATTGATTCAATGCTGTAATCCCAGGATAAATGTACAGACATATTTTGCAATATCCTCTGATAAACTTTTACTACTGCTCATCTGGGAAACATTTTTAGGATTTATCCTGGAAAAGCAGACATGGATGTCTGTACAACTGCACTCATTCTTGGGATAAAATACCTTATCCTAAGATAACCGTGATGTCTATTTGCACAGACAGATATAACATCATGACTTTAGAATAAACTTTTGTTGGTTTCTTCTTTTCTTCTTCAGATTTACAAGTCTAATAGTAGTGTGATTAATTTAAGATGTCAAGTTTCATCAATTAAAACTGAGACCATTAATTAAAAGGTCATCAAAATATGTAGTGCAGTATATCAAAGAGCTATATATTTAGTGTAAAACAAGAGTTATGAATCCTGTGTCACAGGAACCAAGATTTCACTCATTGTTTTTGAAAACTAGCTAATGCAAACTAATGGACAAGAGGAGAGGAATTAGGATGTCACATATCACTGGTTTCCACAGCCATGAAATACCCCAGAAGCTGGAGAGTTTCATCAGCTATTATTCTAGAACAAATCCTTACCACATTTTACATGCTAATATTTCAGCATCAATAATTCTTAAAGAATGAATAGGCAATATTAGGTTTGATGTGGAATTCATTCTTTGGTTTATAATATTCATTAGTAAAACAAGATAGTATTTTAGAAAGTGAACTTTTTATGTACACTTATAATGTGAAGCATACATCTATAGTATAACTATATGTAATGCATAACTAAAAATAAAAAAGAAATTATGTATGACTTACACATGAACACTTGTATATGCTAATGGAAAATGAATTTTCATCTCCTTTCTTTTGCCTGACTTCCCCATTTCCCATCCTTACAAATCAGCAAGGTTTCCTCCCTAGAATAAATTGCATTCTATTTTTGTTTACATTATATTTCAAATTCAGTTGTGAGAGAAAAGGCCAGGTTTCCCTCTACAAAAAATGTAAATGCAAATATGACAATTACACTGGGAAGAAGAGCCTTGTTGGCCTGCAGGGAAAAGTATGAGGACAGAAAGAAGTTAGGAGATGAGTACAAGGGAACTTTAATATTTCTTTTTAAGCTCCTTCACTTTCAGTAGTTTGACATTTTCATATTCTTTGAGTTTTATTTGTTTCTCCTTTCTTTCATGCGTATTATGGAGGTTTTATTCAACTGAAGGTGACAAAAAGCTGAGACAATATTTTTTCTACTGACAAAAAGTTTGAAAAAACTGACCACAGATGACAGTCTCAGCAGAGAATCAGGAACTATGCAAAGTAACTCGTAAATTTGGGGTAGGGTGACTGAAAAATAATTAGCAAGCGATTATGCCTCTGAACTCTGAGTAGCTAATAATGGGTGCCAGCCTAAGTATAAGAAGTCATTTGTTGAATAGTTATTGATATATGTGTATGCAAATCACCCCAAAATCGCTCACTGTGAAGTGGTTTGGGGAAAAAATATTGTTATGGATATAAGTAAATATACAGAATCCATGAATGCTAATTGAATGAGACAATTCCATTATTGAATAACCTCCTTCAAACATTATTTCCTTTTTTTTTAACTTATACCCTCCATTCTCCTCTAAGAAGATAAGAATGTACAGGAATGTCACAAAAGAGAAAGATAAAATGCATTTTCATGTATCTATTCAGCATATATTTGCTGAAAAGAATTTTTTTAAAAATAAAGTGAGTGAAAAACAGGAAGGTGAAACTCTGTAGAATGAAATACTTGCCAGCCTCCACTTATAGACCAAGTTTCTTGAAATATATTTAAAAGAGAATTTGATGTATAATATGTTGTTTAACATAGAACATTTTAAGATGGCTGATTCTGAGTGATACATAGCAAAACTCAGATTATCAGTTAAACGTATAATATCAATATGTTAAAGGTTAACAGCAATAGAGAAACACTGTTAATGACCTAAAGTATATTTATGCACTATCTGACAAGTATATGAAATGCAAGCCTAGATAGATCTCTCTCTCTCTCTCTCTCTCTCTCTCTCTCTATATATATATAAATCCTATAGCTATATATATCTATAAATTCTAAAATCTTGATTTAGGATTTATTATATTTTATATATATAGCTATATATATCTACATAAAGCTTGATATATAATGTAATCAATCCTAAATCAAGATTTTTTTTCTTTTCTGTGTAGGACATATTATCTTGACAACATTACCTTTATATTCAATGGCAAATCCTGACATGCCAACAGAGGCATCACTTCGAAATGCAAGAAATAGGCTATTACTACTGCTCTCAATTCTTTCAGGTGCCTGGGAGCCTTGAAAACTTCCGATTAGAGGACTGTTGGAATCTTCCCCTTCATAAATATGCAGAAAATCATAACTGGGCTCCATACTGAAACTGAAATAAAAGAAAAAAGAGAATTGCAATGCTGTTGTTTTTAAAGTATAACTACATCAGTTCTGTAGTTGTCTTCTACCTAAGATGTCATCCTACTCACAGGAAAAGGTCTTTAAAAATACAAGGGATCTTAAAATCCAAATTCTACATGCCTTGTAAATACTGATCAATCAAGAATTTAATATTGATAGAATTTTAACCGAAGCATTCTATCATGTAAAGTGCAGTCATGCTATAAAACTTATTTTTATTTCTACACAAATAAATTGTAGAAGTACAATAATACATATTACTATTATATTAATGATAGGATCTGTGCAGTATAACAAGAAAGACAACACTACTACTTTAAAAAAAAAGGTTGTGCAGGTCCACTAGGCTCCTGGCTGATATTAATTTAATTACATTATGGGATCTGAGCCCTTTTATCCCAGAACTCAATAATTATGTGTCCTGCCATGCCAGATGTTCACAGTATAGCATGGCAGGATATACAATCATTGGGATATGGGACAAAATTCCTCATATCCCATTGACATTCTACCAGGGCATGCACCAATTTTTTCCTAATATTTAATCTAAACTTCCCTTGCTGTGTCTTGAGTTCATTGCTCCTTGTTCTGTCATCTGCCACCACTGAGAACAGCCTATCACTATTTCATTACACATTATTCAAGTGAAAGCGAAATCAGACCAACAAGTCAAACTGCAGGCAGCATATGTTATCATTGAAAATGTAGAAATAGGTCACGAATAGGTGTTCATTTCCAGAGGTAGAAATTTCTGCAAAATTTCCGCTGCTAGAAATCTTTCAAGAAGAGGGAGTACAGGCATTCAGCTTGCAACTACTCCCTCTCTTCCCTGTCACCTGACCAGGGTGCTCCTGGTCTGGGGAAGGCAAGGGGACCAGTGGCTGTTCCACATTACCACCACATTGGGTATGTCTACATGAGCATTTATACCAGCTTAAAATTTACTGCGTTGTAAGAAGGAATAGGCCACCATTTACACGTGCAGCCATTAAAGCGCATTAATGCTGTGTGTGGACTGATGTGGAACTAAAGTTAGTCCACACACACAGGGTTACTGCACAGTAAGGCATCTACATGTGCATTACTGTGTAGTAACTAACTGGGTGTAAATGTGATACCCTGCATGATGCAGATACCAAATTTACACTCAAGTCAGAGTAAGTCACCATATTTACTGTGCAGTATGGGCAGGCATGTGTAGATACATGCCTGTACTGCACATTAATTTTGGTTACTGCACAGTAAATGTACACATGTAGACACACCCATTGTATAGGAAACCTACCTGCTGCCACAGATGCATTCACTCCACCAGCTTTTATCCTAAATATACCACCAGATCCATTGTCTACAAACAAGTTCTACATTACAACCAGATCTGCTGTGACCCCACTGATAAACACCTTAAGGATCTAGAGCAGAGATTCCTACAATTACAAAACAATCCCAAAACAAATCCCAGATTCAGGCCTTGCTCCAACCTTTTATATCAACCCTGGAGCAAGGACAACAGAATCCCTCTGATTGTCATCTACATCTTGAATACCTAAGATGTCACTAATGACATCCAACCCCTCCTGGAAAAGGATGATTGTCCCAAGGCAGCCTTTAGTGACAAATCTGTGTTGGTAGCCCCTCCCCACCCCGCTCTCCCTGAATGTCAAATAGCCTCTGTCAAACAACAGATTAACAAATTCCTATCCTCATGGAGGCACCAGTCTTTGCAATAGATCCAAATGCCTGCCATGTCCCCACACCATCACTGTACCTAATAACAAGGAGTACAATATCCAAGATTACGTCCCCTACAACTATACCATCATCATATATGTCATCACCTGCTTACAATACTATTCTGCTGTCTACATTAGGCAGACAGGGTGATCTCTATGTATAAAAATGAATGACATCAGCTGACATCAGTTGCAGAAAGACACAAAAGCCTGTGGTAGAACACTTTGCCCTCCCTGGACACTCCCTTACTTACCTCAGGATTGATTTTTCTCAGTAAAAAATAAAGTATAATAAAAAATATAATAAAAACTAGTTTGAATGGGAAACTGAAGAACAAGAAATCCACAAACTGAACTCTGCTAAGTATGATTTAAACCAGGACTATGGGTTCTTATCTCATTGCTGGGATTAATTTTTGTGCCCCCTTTATTCCTATGGGTTTAATGCTCATTTGCTTTTCTCTCCTAGCACTGCCTTCCTCCCCCTATCTTTCTCTCTATCTTCTCATCACTTGTATTTTGTATTCTAATTTCTCTCTACTTAGATTCTGCTTTCTGCATTTCCTTTTCACAGCATCTGCTGAAGTGAACTTTGGTGCACAAAAGCTAGCACTCCATACATTTATCTTATTTAGTTAGTCTATAAACATGCAAATGTACCCTGCCTTCCGATTGACTTCAAACTAACATGGCTAACTACCTCTCTCTACTCCACTCTTCCCAGTCCCCAAGGAGAATGGGGCAGTAATCTCCAGTGTGCAGCTGAGGGAGAAGCAGGGAAAATCCCCCAGCCCATTCCCCAAACTAGGGACTGCCTGGTATGAGGAAGAGGCAGGGAGCATCAGTGACTGCTCCCATCCCATTCCCTGACACCACCTGGTACAGGACAGAAGGGAAGCCCAACAGAACAAATCCCCTGAGCCTGGTCCCTAGACCAGGCAGTCTCTGGTGCAAACATTCCTTCTTGTAAGAGAGTTCCTCTTGCAAGGCAGATCTTCCAGATGCCAACAGGAAAAGACATAACACATGAGAGAAGCAAAATAAGCCAAACCTTCAACTTATCTAAAACCTGTGCTACACCACTGATATTAGTATACAAATAAAGACTTGGTTTTCTGATGTACATTGCTATAAAATAGTTATATTTATTTAACCGTTTAAATAAAATTATGAATTATTTCAAGGAAACATTGTTTTGAGACTTCCACTTTGTGATTAATATAATGACATATACATTAATATGGCTTTCCCAGTTTATTATCTAGTTTAATCTTAAATATATTTCAGGTGGGGGTTAAAGATATTTTTGATTAGCTAATTTGCTCCCATCTGCCACATGTGTATACTTATACTCATACTAAACTGAAAAGTTATAGATAAGCCACTAGCAACCACACCTAGGTACAGTTTAGACATTCACTACTATCAGAAGAGATCATAATGATGTTTTTTGAACATTACAATATATATGTAAATCCTTCCTATTCTGTGGACCATTGATGTAAGACAACAAAGACCTCTCTTCCCTTTCAAAGCAAGCTACATGCATGTAAAATAGATCTATATAAGTAGCAGCCTCATATTCCAGTTGATAAAGCTATTAGATATGTATAGCAATGACATTTTGAAAGCTCTGAATATAACTTTGCTTTACAAAGGGATTGCTGGCTTTTTTTGCCAAATGAGAAAGACGGCAAATGTATGTTTTAATAAATATATATTTTAAAGTGCAAAGTATGTAATAAAAAGCTTTGATTCATATTTTGCTCAATATTTTACATTTTCTAATGTTGTTGTCATATAAGTTAAACAAGAAACAGGGTGTATCTATGGGTGTTTTTACAAGTGCTCCAGGGGTGGGAGGGTGCCTTAATTAGAGTGGCTTTTAGAGCCACTCTAAAGAGCCCAGAGCATCTCGTGTATCCATGTCCCTGTGCTTCAGAATGGAGGTGGAGGCACTTTATCTAATGCTCATTAAATGAGTGTAGGGGCTGGCTGAAGTGCAGTAATTACCAGGCTCCAGCAGACTTGATTAATCAAGTATTTATATGCTGTAATTACAGTACATCAGAGAAACCTCCTGGCTCATGTACAGGCACCCTACATGTCCAATTAATGTGTTTTAGGTAGTGTGCATTAAATCATAATAATGGAGGTAAATAGTACCTCCATTGTGAGGTACTAGAAAAAGGTGCATTCGCCTATTTTAACACTCATTAGCTAAACAGCATGGCTTTTGGGTAATGCTTTAATGATCATTAAAATAGGCTAATGCACATTAAAGAACACATGTAGATGTACCCACAGGCACCAATTTTACTTATTTTAATTATATATTTAATATATTTTTCACTTGCATGGCTTAGATTTTATTTTGGCTAAAAAGGGAACTAAGAGACATGTAAATGTAGCCTTTACCAAGATTTGCTTTTCCTACGTGTCCTTGTTAGAATATGCTTATAGCACAATTTGCCATCCTAATTTGCCCTTTAATTTCATTTATTTTGTCCCTGTTAGTCATCCTTCCATACATGACCCATTGTCTAAAGGGAGAATACTGCTCATAGAAAAAGATAATAATACTGTGAGCTGTCTTCTTGAACCAAAAACAGCATCTTCTATATGAAGTATCTCCAATTGTCACATGGCACTAAAATGTGCCTGTTCCTTTAAGGGCAGAAGCAGCCTAAGCAGGCAGCCCTGCAGGCCAGGCACATGGCCTCCATAGCTACAGGTTGCCTGAGCAATGAGGCAATTGAGGCAATTGAGGCTAATTACCTCAATGAGGTTAATGAGGTAATTAGCCCAGGCAGTCAGCTGACTGGAAGGAAGCAGGTCTCTGGGAACATATAAGCTCATGGTTAGAGCTGGCAGAATTCACTCTCTCTGGAGACTGCCAGTGGAAGGAGCTACCTAAAGACATGGTCTGCTGCCTACAAGAGCAGTAAGGCTCCAGGAGCCCAGAAGATACCCAGGGCTGGGAGACACCTGTCCTACGGGTAGAAGTTTGCCTTCTTAAAGGGGCGGAACATAGTCTTCATTGCTATTGTTCTGTCATAGCCCAGGGGCTTATGTGTGTGTTATTGTTTGTACTGGAGGTTTGGGATGAGGCTGTAAGGGGAGGTATGGAGGCCTCATTAGTGCCCAGAGGGATGTAGCTACTCAAGAGGCTGGGGGACCTGGTGCTAGAGGGGTGCAGCCACATAGGGCCAGAGGGGTACAGGCACATAGGGCTAGAAGGACCGGTGCCAGAGGGATGCAGTCAGGCAGGGGCTGGAGGCCCAGCAGACAGGGGCTAGGGGCCCAGTGACTGGAAGAAACCGATTGGAGCTAGTGCCTCAAAGCCCAGTCTGACACAATAGGCCTAGGCTAGAAGGTCTAGCCAGATTAAAGTGGTGGAGGCTGAGTAGGCTGAAGTCCCAACAGAGGAAACAACATCCATGTAACACCCGTGAGGCATGGGGCATGTTGTATGGGAGATTTAGAGCCATGCAATTAGCCCATAAGGTTTGAGGTGCCCCATTCAGTACAGTACTAGACTGAAATCCAGCAAAGGGCCCAAGGATGAGTGAGTTCTTAT